ACTCTTTCCTCCTAGCACAGGACTTCAGCAGATTTTTCCTTTGTGTTGTTTTCCTCTGGACTTTTTCACTTTTCTGGGCCCGGGGCCCAGCACAGGCAGCATGGAGCAGTTGTCCCCTTGGCCCAGCAGTTGTCCCAGCAGGCCCAGGATGATGCCTGGCCCCGTCGCAACAGCTCCACATTTGGTGACACTTCAGCTTATGACTCCCTGCAACTCCAGAGCTTCCCTCCCATCCTGCTGGTTAGCCAGTTATTCCCCGCTTCTTGCATGTACATCTCCCTTTATTCTCCATTTGCATTTGTTCTTGCCAAACTGCATCTTGCTGCTTTCAGACCACGTCTCTGGCAGCCGTGATCACTCTAACCCCGAGGCCTTGCAGCCACCCTGGCTGAGCGTCAGCTGGAAACGCCGAGATAACATGTCTCCCTCCTGAAGTGTCCATGTTGTTCAGGAAGAACCAACGCAGAACTGCTGGGCCTCATCCTTCCCCTGAAGGCCTCTGAGAAAGGTCCTGGATCCCTAAACCTGAAGGTAGGGCAGTAACCTCACACTTGCTGTGAGTTCACCAGTGCCCCTGCTAATGACTTCACAGCTGCTATGATTAAGATCAAGAAACCTAAATGATCCCAGACAGAAAGACAGGAGATGTTATTCACAGTTGGTGTAAATTAATCACGTAAATTAAGCACAGAGATAAGGAGGCTGGATCCCAAAGGTTCCCTGCCTTGTTCGGGGAGAGGAAGAGAGTCTGGCTGGTGTTGAGTTTCAGAGCTGGGCTGGATGGCTCTTCTGGGTTGCCCTGCAGCATGGTTTCTCCTCCATGGAGCAGGGTAGAAAGCCAGCAGGACAGCATGCATCAGGATACCTGTCCCCTTTTGGTGTCTCTGGCACTTGGCCAGCTGCTGGCAGCCCTGAAGGCAGCTGTGCTGGGTGTGTGCCCTCTGGATGGGGCACTCACCTGCCCTGCCCCAGAGACAGCTCCGAAGGCTCTGCCCATATCCTGCCAACAGCCCTGATCTCATCTGCAGCACGTTTATTCATGGCTCACAGCTGATGGGAGTTCACCACTGCTGCAACCTGCTGGAGGCCGAGGTGGTGTTTAGGTGGGAAGGGCAGAGGGTCTCTCTCCTGCGGCAGTCGTGCATGTGAGGCTGAGCTGGCTGCCTAGTGGCTTTTACCTACCTGGGCACAGCCCTCACCACCACAGGCACCCTCTGTGGTATGATTTAACTTTTCCCAGGGCAGCAACACCTGGACCTCTGAAGAGTGGGGGCTGTCAGCAGCATGGGCAAGTGTTTGAGCCTTCTCCTGCACTCTTGCTGTTTCCCAAGATTCTTCAGTCTGCCCCAAGCTGTTAGTAAAAGCCCAGGTAAGGGCAGGCCAGGGGTGGCTCAAGGCTTCTCTACTGCCAATCAGTGATTAAGTTTTGCCCGTCGCAAGATTCTGGCCAGGCTCATACAGACTGGTCGAGCTCGTGCCTCAGCATCAAGCTTTCCTGTGTCCTGCAGAAGCATCCCGTGCCTCCCTTCAGCTGCTGGGCAAGCTGAAGGGAGGAATATGCAAGGCAGGAATTCAGCTTATTTGCCCTATAATGGAGCAAGGATGTTTTTTCCCTGAGGAAGGAGCTCTCTCAGTCCCACCCTAAGCAACAACATCTTGCAGCGCTCTCAATAAGGGCTTGAAGTGGCTGCTCGTGCCTGTGATGGCACTGGATGACCTCCCTGCAGCCTGGGCAGCCCAGAGCTCTGCTTGCAGTGTGAGAGCGTGGGCTTCTCCGGGACAGTGGGAATCCAACCGTCTGCTTCCTGGAAAGGAAACGCTGCGTGGGGTTGAAGAGTTCAGAGGAAGTGTAGTGATGCAGTGAGTGAATGGATGGTTCGATGGTTCGGCTGCTTGCCTGTGACTTGGGAGGCCCGACTTCAATGTCCTGCTCTGGCACGGGCTTCCTACGGTGCTTTGGGCAAGTTTTCCGGGCCCTATTTGCACTTGTAACTTTGGTTGCTCTGTTTGTGGAGCCAGGCACGTTTTGAAGAGCCCTGACGGCTACTGAGTGGCAGCACTTCCAGGAAACAGGGTCCCTCAGGATGTCTCGTGCTGAGCAAGCAAACCCCAGGAGCCACAAAGTGCGGGCTGCACTTCCTCATCTGTGGAGGATCCTAGCATTTCCCTGCACCACACTCTGAAAATAAATACATTCAAGGCTGTGAAATGCTCAGATAATAGCCAAGGGTACGGTACCAGTGCCACAGGACGTTTCTGAAAAGGAAAATAGATGGGCATATGTAAAAGCCAGCAGTTATGCTACTGGAACTAGGCCAGGCATTTTCCCTGAGCTGGCAAGCCTATAGCCACACGCGGCTCTTTCTTTTGGCCCTGTTTGTTCCTGTGTTGTCCCTCTGAGTGACAAAGTGGGGAAGAAATGCCAGGAATGGCCATACAAGATGGCACTGTGTGCTAAGCATGGTCTCCTCAGCTTGTATGTTATTTGTGCTGTGATAAGGCTGCTCACTCAAAGCTCCCAAAACTTTTGCCTCAGTGACTGACTGCATCTGTCCCATTGCTGCTGGGAGCTTCTTGCCATGCCTGGCACGGAGGCGTCTCACCAGGTCCATGGCCAAGCACAGGAAGCTGAGGCTTGGCATATAGTCACTAGGCTGAGCAGCAGCGTGTTTTTCAAAATTATTGTGCAGAAGGCAGGAGAAACTCAACTGAAACTCCAATATTCGGGGAAAAACAGTAAAGTGGGAACTGGGAATTGCTGCTTTCCATAGGATTGAGTTCCGGTGGATCAGCTCAGCTCCTGCCAGTTTTTGTATCCACTTTTGATGGCACATACAAAAACTTAACCACCCTGAAGATGTGCTGCTGTCTGTAGTTGGAGAGTAGATCCGAGGCAGAGATGGGTTTGAGTAGGGGCTCCTGAGCCCCATGCAGTGACACCTCCAGCTCCACTGACCTGTCAGCTCTACCAGCCCAGGGGTGCTGAGGGGCTGGACACTCAGCCCTGCTCCACCATTTCCATTGGGCTGCCCCAGCCTAACCGCATTCTTCCTGGCTCGTCCACACTGCCTGCGCCACGTGCTGACAGAGAGCGTACACAGACTGGAAATAGGGAAGAGCTGGGAGGAACAACACAGAAGAAGAACAAAGAAAGCAATTGGGGTGAAGACATGTGAGAAAAGACAGTTGAATATGGGTCGGGGAAAGCAGCACATGAGAGGAGGAAGAGGCAGGATGAAGCCAGGCTACAGTGTGAGCATTGCCCTGTCGGCGTGTGGGCCCAGTTCTTTCCTCAGTTCTGACAGCATGAGCAGATTAGAAGGCAAACGGCCTGTGATTTTTGGCAGCCCCTTGGCCCCTGCACAGTTACCTCCAGATCCTCTAGTGCGGAGTCCCGGCGAGCACTCCTGGAGCACTGCTGTCCCAGGGGCTGCCTGCAGGTCTTCAAACTACTGAGGCTCGTACTAAAGATGGAAATAGTCCCAGTAGGCATAGACTGGGGGATAAATAAGGGATGCAAAACAACTCCTCTTCACTGCTGTCCAGGGGCCATTCTCCAAGCTGAGCACTAGCAGTGGGAGAACAGCAAGGACCCCCACCCCCAGCATGCCACAATATTCTTGTCCCCCATGGTGCTGCCACAGTGTCTCCTAGTACAGGCTGTGCTGAGAAGGGGCTAGAGGGAGCCCGGACCCATGTGCAGCAGCGTCAGTTCCCCAGGGTTAAAGCTGAGCTCGTATTCTGGCGTGGAGGGAGAATTAGGTCTCAGGGTTAGCTTCTGGCTCTGTAGCACCGTTATCACTTTACAGTGCTTTCTGGGTACGAGGGATGATGTTATTCCCCTACGGACTAGTGGTAAGGTATTGATTCATGTTTCAAAGAGTTAAAGAACTTTGTCCTATAGAAAATACCACTTCTAGCAAAAAGCAGTCCTCCCGACAATCCCGAATCTTTCTTTTTAGGTGGGATTGGAGCTTCAGAGCCATTTGCACAAACAGCTTTTGTGTGGCACCTGCCAAGGGTACTGGCCTCGTCCCCAGGACCTGTGATGATGGTGCTGAGGGCAGTGGGATGGAGGTGGGTGGGTTGTACGGATGTGGGAGGCTGCCTGGGAATTTCCCCAGCCAGGCTTGGGTAGCAAAGGCTGCCTGGCACTGGACCGCCCTGCCCGCGCATCACTGGTGCCGCGTGCGGCTCTGCTTCTCCTGCCGCTGGAATTTCTGGGGGCTCCCAGCACCACCTCCTCCGCACTGCTCTCCTTTTAGGGTCCAGGTTTCGCAGTCGGAGCTGGGGCTTTTCTTCCTTTACATCTCTGCTGTTTGTCTCAGAGGAAACCCATCTTGCTGTTTTTCAAACCGCCTGAAGGTGTTTTTCGGGGGTTTTTCAGGCTATTTTGAAGCTCGTTTTTCCCAGATGTGCTTTTTTATTTTTTTCTCTTCTTTTTTCTTCTTCTGTAACTTTTCTTCTTCGTCTTAAAGTTTCCGGCCACGTGACTTTCAGCTTACATCCCGTAGGTTCTGAGAAACCACAGGAGGCTGAGACCTAAAGGGAAGGTGCAGAGGCTCGGAGAGAAGAGCCAGAGAAAGTGACAGAGAGGGAAGAAGGACAACGTGTCACAGGGAAGGACGAGAGCAGGGAGGCAAAGGACCATCTCAGGGGAGACACGGAAGGGCAAGGGAGAAAGGAAGGGAAAAAAGAAAGAAACCAAGCACACCAAGAGCATAAAGGAAGCCGAAGAGGCCTCAGGGAGGCAGAGACGGGAGCCATGCCCCACAGCTCTGACAGCAGTGACTCCAGCAGCTTCAGCCAGTCACCCCCTCCCAGCAAGCAGGTAAGGGGGATCCCTCCCCAGCTCACCCTGCTTCCTGGCTGTCCTTCACAGGTGGGTAGGGGCCTGTGTGGTCAGGAGGAAGGGTAAGAGACTGGCATCCATCACTGGCATTTTCACAGTGCACTATGGCGGGGCTTTCTAGGAACAAGTATGGGGGGAGAGGGATGCAGAGCCAAGCAGCAAGCCCAGGTGGGAGCCACAGCCACCATGCAGAAGACAGGCGGAGAGATGAAGCACATTAGCTGGGGCTGTGCCAGGGACGTCTGGGGTGTCGGGACCCTGGACGCAGTGGATTATGTGATGCCCACCCGCCAGCCAGCAGGCAGGAAGCCAGAATGTGAGAGCTGGTGCTTTGTGAAGAGCCTGAGCACGTACATCCTCTCCACAGGCTTGGAGGGCTCAGGGGAACCTGAAGGCTTCCCACTGCCTCAGACATCACTTAGGGACCAGGAAAAGCCCTGCCACTTTTGGTCTGCTCTTTCTCTGTTCAGTCTCAGAAGTTTTTCATCTCAGAGTAGTGCTGGACAGAGAGTTTGTTGTTGTTATTGCATGGAGCACCTTAATGGTAGGTCTTTTGCTAGCAGATATTGACACATGCCCAAGATATGTTCATCTCCTCTTCTGGCTAAGCTTTATTATATTTATTGATTGCTCTCTGCCTAGAGCTGAAACATGGGCAAGTATCTGAGTCTTTGTCCAGAAATCTCAGGGACAATCAGGGCAGATGATCAGGGCTTCTGACATGGGATGGGGAGGAATCTGGGCAGAGAAAGGGACTAAGCAGAGAAGCTGCTAAAGAATAAGGACCAGATCTGATGCAGGACTTAGGAGCTGCCATGGCTGCGAAGTTTGCAAGGCATTGAAGGGAAGGATAAAAGCGTTAAGTTCAAAGAAAAGAAAAGCTCTTGGGCGGGGTGGCGGGGGGGTGGGGGGAAGAGGATGTGGACAGACTGATGGGCTGGGAAGATAACTTTTGTGGCTGAGTTTTGTAGTCATGTGGGGGAGCAGTGGTGTGAATGTTAGGGAGTCCACAAAAGAGACAGTGACAGTGTGAAAATAGAAGATGAAAGAGTCTGCATGACAGTTTTAACTGTCAGAAGGCAGCAGAAGGACCAGATCTGAGCAGGGAAGTGCTGCTGCATGAAGCTCATGACCTGGAGCAGGGAGAAGAGTGCGCCTCTCTGTGCAAAGGGCTTGAGAGTATTGCAGTTAGCATGTTAGAGCTAGACGCTGCTACTGAGGGACTCCAGAAAAGAGCAAGCATAGAGATGAGAGAGCTGGAGCAACTGAGATGTGGGGAAAAAACAAAAGCTCTGAGTCTGTGTAGTTTAACAAAGGGAGCACATTGCACTGTAATGGTCTGCAACAAGTAAAGTCTGAAGGAGAAAGGTGGTGGAAGGGAGTGGGACTATACCTACAGGGATGAAAGGAGGAAAAGAGGCTCAATCTCTAGAAAGATGGTTTAGCCAAGAAGCTGGAATGACGGTGGTGCCATATTGCAGCAGAGAGATGGAGAAGGAAAAGTTTTTTCTGTCCCAAAATTGTCTGTTTGGGAGACAGTCTTGTCTTGGTACCTCAAGCCCTATCCCATGTCTGTTTTTGGTAAAGGGTGAGTGGTCTTTTTCCTGCTGTGCCAGGATGATTAGGGTGTCAGATTTGCCCCTCCTGGCAACAGGGATGCTAAGAGCATCACACGCTCCTGGGGTAGGGCTTCACCCTGGTGCTCAGGGGGTTGTGTCCCATGTCCTGTGCTTTAAGGATGTTCCTTCAGAGCTCCTCTGCTGTCTCCCCTTCCCACCTCTCTCAGTCCTTCACCCCTGCACAGCAGGAGCAAGGGGAGTGAGGGGACACCCCATCATTTCCATGCCTCATATTTCTTTAGGACTCTTCTGATGACATGAGAAAAGTCCAGAGGCGGGAGAAGAACCGCATCGCTGCCCAGAAGAGCCGCCTGAGGCAGACCCAGAAAGCAGACACGCTGCACTTGGTGAGCGCTCCCATCCTTTCTCCATTCTCAGTGCTGAGGGCTCACTTGGGAGAGAACATGCTTTTACTCTGGGGACTCAGAGCAGAGGTGCTCAGTTTAGGCAGGACAGGAAAAGCAGAGACCAGGGCAGGATGTAAGAGTCAGCGCTAGCAGCAGCTAGAGCACATAACCCAGGCAAAGAGAGGGTTTGTCCGTTCAGATGCCCAAAGACACTTCCCCTTCATCAGGTCCCTAGTGAAGTCCTTTGCTTTCGTGGCAACGTTATAGGCTTCCTCTCTAGGTTTGATCGGTGTCACTGGTACTTGTCACCCCCTTCAACCATGGGATGTCCCATCTTCTGGCACACGCAGGCCTGCTGCCAGGATTCATACCAGGGGTCCTACTGTCACCATCCATCAGAAATGACAATGACCACTCAGGCCCTTAGTTTTGCAAACAATTTTGAATTCATAACAAGACTTCATGTCTCACTTCGACGTTACAGAGTTCCTTTTATAACCTCTACTGGCCAGCTCAATTAGAAGCTCTTTGAAAGCATGGGCGCACATGGGCTGACTCTCCCTGCTTTTGTCCTTCATGCCATCACTCACACATCAGTGCAACAGCACATGTTGCTGCTTTTCTGAGACGGTAGCACTTTGTACTCATTGCTGTGGATGACTCCGCAATGCAAAATTGAGTGGACAATCTCTTCTGGTCTGTTCTCTGGGACTCTACACAAAATGGATATATAAATATTATTCATTTTCTAATATTTTAAATGACCCTAGGGTAGGGCTTGTATATTTTTCTACATCTGAAAATTGTACAGTATCTGGAGGGTTTTCCTGTTGTGTAGCATGGATTTTCCCTGTGTTGGTTTCACCCCTGCTGTCCCATTCTCTGTCCCAAACTGCTGGCAGTTTGGGCAGACTTCTGACACTCATGCGACTCTTCCCAGCATGAAGAGTTAGGTGTTTGCTTTTCGGGAGGGATGGTCACTTTTGGTTGTGTGTGTTTGGGCAGCATTTTGCTGACAGTGTCAGAGCTCAGGGGCTGGACTCCTTTGCGTTTTGCATTTTGGTAAGTGAAATCCCATGTGTATTTGGCTACTGGTGAGCTGAAGGGAGAATTTGCAGCCTGCAGTGGGCAGAGACCTCTTTGTCCCTGAGCTAGACTGGCTGCCCTTTGAAGAGTGATGGTAAGGCTTGTGTTCAAGAAAGAGGATTACAGACAGGGTGCTGGCAGAAAGGGAGACAGCTAGAGGAAGGGACAGAGATAAGTAGAGGACGGATGTTGAATTTTTGCTAATGTTTTCCCTACTCCTTGGTCACAGTGACTCTCTGCTGCTCTTGGGTTCATTCCCTGAGTGCTTGGGTTGGCTCAGCACTGGGGACCACATCTGTCTCTGATGTGGTTCTGCTCAAGGAGTGGGGCTTAGCCTGGGCTACTGGTGGCGTGAAAGAACCCAGCAGCTCCATCTGCCCCAGGACTTTGTAGCTTGTGTCTTGAGGGGAATGAGTAACTAGGAGGCTGGGGCTTCCCAGCCCCTTGGTGATTCCCATCAGCTCCTGAGATCGATGTTGGTCATGATTTCCAGAGCATTTCTGTCATGTCTGAGAGATGCTAATTTCCTTTGCAAGGTCCTTATGTGATAGCTGCTGTAAACAGTGGGTGTGCAAGGTACCCCAGCATGCAGAGAGTGGGCACCTCCAGGCTTCAGTGTCATACCATGTGCCAGGCCAAAGGGCAGCAGCTCTGCTTTACAGTGGGTGGGTGCTGAGGGGTGTAATTTGGATGGCTAGAGGGGTAGGAGGAGGAAGAGGTTTTCAGGACCTCTGAGCACTGACCGCTGTGTCTCGCTTTGGCCGTCCTGGCTGGATTCCCACCACCTCCCTCCTGTTTCGCTGGGTCCTGCCCCGGGCCGCGAGCAGCGCTGCTCCAAAGCAGCTGGCACCCAAGGTGCTCCAGGCTGCGTTTTGGTAGCAGTGGAGATAGGGAAGACTGTGATTTGCTCAGGATCTTTGAGACAAGACTAAGCATCGTTATTAATCCCTTTGTTGTTGTTATTATTAATAACAGTAATAATTTTGTTCTTCTGAGGCCTCAGTTTCTCTTTTCTTCTGACTCAAGCGTCTCCCCCTCCACACTCGCGCTGTTTAGCAGGTTTCCCCGGCTGCTAGCAGGAAGCAGTGAGTCTTTTCTTTCCAGGGCAATGACAGGTTTCCTGTGGCAGGTGGTTTTCTGGTTAAAGACGGCGGTTATTTAGCACCCCCTCCCCCCGGCCGGCAGCCGCGGGAAGTGGCCCGGGAGGCGCGCGCGTGTGCGT